CAGCAGAGGCTGATCCAAGTACTGGGACCTTTTATGTCTATGTAGGAAGATCCTTTTCTTTCCTTTCTCTCTCTCTCTCTCTCTCTCTCTCTCTCTCTCTCTCTCTCTCTCTCTTTATCTCCCTGCATCTCAAATACATAGATAGATGATAAATAGATAGGTAATAAATAAATCTTTGTTTAAAAAATGTTGCCATCCCAGGTATCTGCAAAATTTTTTTGCCATGTAACTTAAGTTGCCAGATTTAGTAAGTATGCCATAAACATTGCATGAAACACATTTATATTAAAAGAATCTGTTTTATCTGAAATTCAGATTTACCCATCTTATATTTTATTTACCAACTCTAAACACAGTATAATCACAAAAGTGATATCTTGTCATCTTTGTTTTGTTTAGGGCAAGTTACAGATCTTTCTCACATCCAGGGGGAAGGGAATCATATAAAGGTGTACGTCATTGGAGGTCATTTTAAAAATTGCCTGCCCACACTTGTAGATTTATGCATTTGGCTCACCTACTGAGCCTATGCTGGACTCCCCTAGCTCACTTTACTTGGTAGAAAGATGATGGCTAGAGCAATAGGTTCCAGTATATGTACATTTCCAAAATGTATTACCTATTTCTCCACCTGTCTAGATAGCTATTTCTTTTTTGTATTATTGACCAACTCCTATTAATACTTCATATTTCAAATGTAAATTTCCCCCTTTTTCAGAAATATTCCTGGCCCTTCTCTCTACTTATTCTTGGTGCCAGCTTCTCTTTACTTATTCTTGGTGCTAGCTCCTCTTCTAATTTCAACCTGTTGCTACCAAAAACTGTAGGGTTTAATTACATTATAGCAAAATATTCATCTTTGTTGCCTGTGTTTTTTCTTATCTTTTCCCACACATTTGGAAATCAGAGATGAAATAATTCAGTTCTTTACTCATAGTGCATGACGTTATGTGTTGGTTAAGAGCTCAACAAGGGGCCAACATCGTGCTGTAATTGGTTAAGCCAATGCCTGTGACACTGGCATTCCATATGGATGCTGGTTCAAGTTCCAGCTGCTCAACTTCTGATTCAGCACCCTGCTAATGTGCCTAGGAAGCCAGCACAAGGTGGCCCAAGTGCTTGGGCCCCTGCCTCATGTGGGAGACCCAGATGAAGCTCTTGACTTTGGCTTTTGACTGGTTCAGCCCTAACAGTTGTGGCCAATTACAGAATAAACCAGTGTTGGAAGATTCTCTCTCTGTCTCTCCTTCTCTCTCTTTTTCTATAACTCTGCCCTTCAAATAAATAAGGCTCTTTTACTAAAAAAAAAAAGTAGCTCAATAAGCATTTGATGAACAAAACTACACTTCCACATTATACACTGATGGAACAAGGACATAAGCCTCAGCCATTCTTCCTCATTGCCCAAAAGAGATAAACATGGGAATGTATTCCTGGCCCTTGAAACTCAGTTGGGTCTCACACCCTATTGCCTTCAAAGGGACACCCCACTGCCACCTGAAAGACCAATTGTTCAGAACACTTAAAAGGCCAGTTCCAGGAATTCCCTTCTGCCTGCAACCCCCCACCCCACTCCCATCCCCAGCCCTCTTAAAATATAAAAAGGCCGGGCCCCTGGGGCTCAGGGCCTTCTGCCCCGTGTCCCATCAATGTGCAAGCGGGCAGTTGTTCACCCACCTCTACGGATGTATTTTCCCTAAATAAATTCAGTCTAACTGTAAATTCATATACTGCATCCTCTCTATTCTGCTCCTTTTTTCCTAACATACAACAGTAGTGGTTCTATGGCTCTAAGAATGCCAAGTGATCCATCTATCCACCCCCTTTGTCCTTCCACTTCTCACGACTGTAATTTCTTTTGAGACTAAAGGGCATTTAGGAACATATGGGTGGTTCCACCTTAACCCCAGCTCTGACAGTCTTTCTCTAACCAATTGGAAATCGAAATCCTGCAGCCAAACATATCACAACTGGTTTCTTCTTCCAGATACAGAAACAAATGATCTGTCTTCTGTGTTTTCCCAACATTAGCATCAAAATTTTCACAATCGCACTTCAGCAGTCAAATGCATTTCTAAACTGTAGAATCCTAGATTAAAATGGGGACAGATATGAATATTTCATTGCACTCCTCTCCCTCTATTTATTTCTTCCTGAAATAACTCTAATAGTGAATGAGGCTTCTTATATTTAAACATATCCAGTGATGGAGCACCTGATGAGGAAGTCATTCCCGTTTCAGAGAGTATCACATATTAGAAAGAGCTCTTATGTTGTAGAACTTAGACATCATGATCATCCATTCATTTCAACCTAATTAGAGTCTCTAGAAAGGAATAGCACACATCTGTAATTCTAGACTTACTAATTTTGCAATGCCCATCTTTCCGATGTATAATTATCAACCATTCTAAATTCTCCACAATCTTAAGTGAGAAGAAGAGATACACTTTTTATAGATACTTTCTTCTCTAGGATTCTTGCCTTTTTTCTTTATTGTTAATGTCTAAGAAATTCTGCCTTCATAAAGTCCCTAATGCTCATCTATTCTTTCTCATTATTTTTGACAACACTTAAAATGCAGACCCATTTAACCACTTTCCAGGTTACTTGAACTCATAACATTTGAGTCTTCTGTCTTTCCCCTTCTTGCCCATTTTGTGTGCCATTAGCATTTCTCCCAAGCAGACATTTCAGTGGTAGTCTCTGTGTGTACATATGTGTTTGTGCATGTATTTCTATGTGTATTGATGCTAATTAATAGGAAAACATTGAAATTGATAGACCCAGGATTTTGAAGCACAAATGCTTAAAAAAAAATCCTTTAGTAAAATAAATGAAACATAAAACTTAGTGCATAAGAAGACATTTCTTCATGGGGACCGATGAACCAGAATGGAAGCCATACATACATAGATGGAAAGAGCATCCAAGCATTTGCCCTCTTGACCCCTAAAGTTGTCATAGATGTAGAAGATAAAACTATTAGTCAACAGCATGTCTGAAACAAAAAAAATGCAAAAGCATGTTAGGACAAGTGAGTGTGTGTATTTGGAATTGATCAAAATATAGAAACTCAGCATAAAAAAGTACATATGTAGACTCTGACCAGAATGAGGTCTTCTGTGTTCCAGAAACGCCATGGAGTAACTCAGGCTCCCACAATGGCAAGAAGAACATTCCAAAGGATTGTTGGTTTTCTGAAGCCTCTGATTACTCTCTATTCAGTAGAATCTGATTGGATTGTGAGACACTGATGCAGAAATGGTGTTGAAGTGCTCATTTTAGAAGAAACGGTGCTCTACAGTTAGTTTCTAGCAACAAGAAGAACATTTTTGACAGCAAAATGGTGGATAGTCACAGCAAGTAGAGCCATAGGTGAACCTATAGTGATATCCAGAACCAGAGCCCTAACCACAGCCATAACCGGAGCCATAACCACAACCTTAGCAACAGCCATAACCATAGCCATAGCCATAACCATAGTCAGTCGTAGTCATGGCTACTGTATGAGTTTCTGTAACAGTTACAACACATGGTGTCTAAAGGTGGGGGTTCAGTAGTTCAGTGGAGAAGTAGGTGGAGTATTCTGAAGTCTGAATGCTATCCTCTACCTCAAATTTTTACATGCTGGAAGGAATGAGTGGAAGACATTACTACAGATTTCATGACCTCATTATCATAGCTTTTTTTTTTTTAACAAGATCATTGTACAGACACATTAGGAGGGAGCTAGATTTGAAGTGGAGCAACTGGGACTTGAACCAGTGGCCACATGGGATGCTGGCATTGCTGATGGTGGCTTAATCAGTTATGCCACTACACTAGCCCCAGAGCATAGATTTAAAAGTAAAAAAATGCATGGAAAAGCAGTGGAAGATGGCCCAAGTCTTTGGGTCCCTACACCCACATAGTAAACCTAGATGAAGCTCCTGGTTGCTAGCTCCCAGCTTTGGCTTCACCCAGCCTCAGCAGCTGCAGCCGTTTCGGAAGTGAACTACTGGATGGAAGATCTCTCTCTATTTCTCCCTCTCTTTCTGTAATTTTGCTTTTCAAATAAATAAATGAATAAATAAATCTTTCTCAAAATATCTTTGCCCTTTTCAGTGGATACAGGACACTTGCCTTTAATTGTTCTGTGATTTCCTTGTCCAGGATGCTGTCTATTCAAAAGTATGTATTTGGAGCAGATGTTGTGGCGTAGTGGGCCTGCAGTGCTGGCATCCAATATAGGTTCCACTTCAAGTCCTGGCTGCTTGACTTCCAATCCAGCTCCCTATTAATCCGCCTGGGAAAGCAATCAAAGATGGCCCAAGCACTTGGGTCCATGCACCCATGTGGGAGATCTGGATGAAGCTCCTGGCTTAGGCCCGGCATAGGCCCGGCCATTGTAACCATTTAGGAAGTAAAACAGTGGATGGAAGATCTCTCTCTCTCTCTCTCTCTCTCTCTCTGACTATAGCTTTAAAATCAATAAAAAAAAAATCTTTAACAAAATACTTCTTGGCTAGGTGAATTGAATTTCCTTCTTTAACCTCAACAATTCAAATAAGTATATTTGAATACAATATATAAAATACAGAAGATATGACTTTATATATGTTTTCTTCTAGTTTATTCTTTCTTTTAATTTTTATTCCTCATACCTAACACTGGATTCTGATTGTAATTCCATCAATCACTCAGGCCATTTCTTCTTTCCCAAATAGTTGTCATTTCTCCTCTGTTTCCCTCCAGCGCCATTCTGAACCATCAATGCCATTTCCAAACCAAAGTTCTGAAATATTCCTTGAGAGGTTTGTGCTTTAAGTTGTCTGAAGTCCTCAGCATGTAAGATAGGAGAAGCAGCTAAAGAAGACACTATTTAAGATCCAAGTATAGGAAGAAATACTTGTATTATCAAGAAAGTTCCTAAGGTTTATGGAACACATCAATAATCCTATTTTCATGAGAAACCAAAACACCTCAAGGAAAGATTAATTCACAAACAAGTACAAAAATAGTTGTTAGAAACCAAGGATCATTTTTATTGAAAATAAGTGACTTTACCCAACTATAGATGTTACATTCATTAATACAGTTACCACAGAAAATCAGTTATAGTGAGAGAATCAGCAAAGGCTATCATTTGGAACATAGTGAGATGATACCATGGACCCTACAGCTACAAAGATGCTATTCCAGGAAATTCGTAGCTGAGGTCAGACTGTCAAGACTGTCATTTGTTGGATATAGAAATCTCAGATTATGGATCCTTGAATCAACATTATCTTCGGAGCTGTCATTTCAGAAGGAGATGGTCCTCTGACAGTGATGTTTTAGCAGCAAGAAGAATAACATCTTCTATAACAAAATGGTCGGTAGCGATAACAGCCAGTGCCATATCCACAGCCATAGCCAGAACCATAGCCACAGCCATAGCCAGAACCATAGCCACAGCCATAGTAGCTGGAGCCATAACCACAGCCATAGCCTGAGCCATAGCCACAGCCATAGCCTGAGCCATAGCCACAACCATAGCCTGAGCCATAGCCACAGCCATAGCCTGAGCCATAGCCACAACCATAGCCTGAGCCATAGCCACAGCCATAGCCACAGGAATTGCCATAGTAGTTGCAGCACATGTTGTCAGGAGGAGAGAGTACAGATGAGTTGCAAGAAGATGTTGCTGAAGTATAATGTCTCCTACTACTCTGGAACCCTTATATACTACCAGTAATTGCCAGAGCATACCATTCATTCTCTGACTTGGCCAACAAATATTTAAACTGTTGCCACTGTTGACAAAAATAATGGTTTGCTTAAAATGAGCTCATCATTTGGGAGATTGGGGTTTTATTTAAGGAAAATTATTTTCATTTATTCTGTCAAGAATTATCTCAATCTAATCATATGCCAGATTGTAAAATAGATGCTCATTTTCAAAACCTTTTATAACTCAATGCATGTCTTGTATAAAAAAGTTTTGGTGGAACATAAGAAAATGTTACCTCCCCCTCTTCTTGCCTAAAGTATTGATTTTTGCCCACAGGGAAGGAAATACTCTTGTCTCCATTTCTGAGTTATTGAAACATCTCAGAATTGTTCTATCCACCCCATACTTTCACACCTCCTGCTTATAGAATTTCCCTCAAATCTAAGAAATAGATCCACACCTGACAATTCAAAACCAATGACATCCATTGAGCCTCTGACTATAGGTGTGAAGACAGAATGTATCTGTAAGTGCTTCTTACATTTGCTCCTTCCTTCCTTATGCCAGGCACAGTAAGGCACTGGGAGACAGGAAAGTTGCCCTTTTCTCTGCCATTTATGTTAAGTAGTGATTGTCACTGAGGAGACTTTTAAAACCCAGACAACTTGATTTGGATGAAGAAGGGAAATGGATCACCTAGAAATTACACTGGTTTTCAGAACACAGATTTTATCAAAGTAACATAGTATGAGATCTGGCTGCATTTCTATAATTTAATAAGCTGTTTTCCTGCTCCTTTCCCTAGTGTTCCTTACATATTCAGTTCAGAAGCCAAAAGAGAGTGGATGCTTTTAGGATGCTAACGGCAAAAACACATCTTCAATTCCTAATATTTCCATTACAAAAGGTAGCACAAAAATGAATTCCGCCCAGTACTTATATACAAATTTCATTGTACCCATTCAACATTCTTAAAATTATCCATTTATGAGAAACTCGCAATCATCTCAAAAAATATTCAATGTTATTCTACCATATAATGGATCTATTTCTTCTCTATAATGCTATTACACTTAAAATTCAACATATTCAGGAGAAAATGAGTATCATTTCTTCTGCCATTAATATTTGTGTCATCATCAAGTCTGAATTAACAAAATTCTCAAATCTGGAAGCACTTCCTGCAGAATGTCTTTTCTCACTGCTACCATCTGGATTCACTGTCCCTCTTTTTTGCTACTATGTACAGACAAATTGGCTTGCCAAACTTTGTTGCAACTTTGTCTTGTTCACTAAGTAAAATATGGTATTTTTGAGATAGAAGACTGTATCTCCCACATTAGGACATGCAGGCAGAGCTAAGGTTTTCATGCACATTATAGGTAAGAAAAACTTAAGGGTCAGTGGAATCAAAGAGTAGAACAATTTGAAGTCACTTCTGGGAGGCCTACCCATAGCAAACTGTATTCCTGTCACTATGAAGCTCAAATCATAGTTGGTATTCAAGAAGTTTGTGTAGCCGGCATTGTGCTGTGGTTGGCTAAGCCTTTGCCTGCGACACCCAGATCCCATCTGTGTGCCGGTTCTACTCTGGGCTGCTCCTCTTCTGAATCAGCTATCTGCTATGGACTGCAAAAAACAGTAGAAGATGGCCAAGTGTTTGGGCCCCTGCATCCACACGGGAGACCCAGAAGAAGCTCCTGGCTCCTGGCTTCAGATCAGCTTAGCTCCAGCCATTGCAGCCATTCAGGGAGTGAACCAGCAGATGAAAGACTTCTTTCTCTCTGTCTCTTTCTCTCTCTCTCATTCTCTGTAATTCTACCTCTCAAATAAATAATTTTTTTTAAAAAAATGTAATAGTTTGTTTTTTTTTTGTTCTGGGGCCCGAAAATATTTATTTGTTTATTTATTCATTTATTTTGAAAGGCAGAAAGAGAAAGAAGAGAGAGAGAGATTTTCCATCTGCTATTTCAGTCCCCAGTGCCACAACAGCTGATTCTGGGCTAGGCCAAAGTCATGAGCCAGGAACTATCCAGGTCTCCATGTGGGTGGCAGAGGGCAGGACTCACGTATAAAATCTGTCATCTATTGCTTCCCAGGCACACTAACGTAGAACTGGTTCAGAAACAGAGGAGCCAAGACTTGAACCAGAACTCCGATATGGAATGCAGGTGTCACAAAGAGTGGCTTAACCCCTGCATCACAATACCTGCTCCCCTTATTTTTTAAAAAATTTACTTTTATAATTAGAGCTTAGACTCATTCTAGATTCACACACACACACATCCCATCTATTATTTTAATTGTAAAATTCATGAGCAATGCAATTTAGAGCTCCCTTTATAGGATAAATAGTTTTCTTTTGGTATACAAAAAGCTATTTGGATAGGCAGATAATTCATGGGAAAACATTTTTAATGAATTTCAACTTTGCATACCTATCACTACAGTAATATAAATTTTATCTATATTCATTATTCAGATACAGAGAAGCGTTCAGTATTATCAGATTTCTTAGACTTTTATCATAACTGATGGAGTTTATATCAGTAGGAACTGGTTGTACAGAAACTTGCTCCAAATTCTTGATGTTTTAGAAAAAAAAAAAAAACATAGAACTTAGCAGATATGACGTGCTATGGAGACAGCATGCCTTGCTCTAGCATTGTCTTCTCTCTTTGGTTCTTGAAGTTCACAGCTGCCTGTAACACCACTGGAACCAAGGAAGTGAACAAACCCTTGATCTATTCTATTTATATTATCATACTGGAAGCAGAACTTAGAGTTAAAACTCATGAACTTCTCTTTAAGAGAATAAACACTGAGAATAATTGGTTCTTGAAACAAACTTCAAAAGGAAAGCCACATCATTCCTACAAGATAGAAACAATGTCCGGGCCCCAAGTCTTTAGTCTCTCTCATCAATTTCACTTCCCAGTTTTACAATTTTCCCACATACCTGGAATCTACTCTTGGATTTCAAATATCACATCTAATCCAAAGAACAGCACCACAAATTCAATTACCTAGATCCTCTTTGCTAACCATATAATTTTTATTTTCACTCAACCTCAAAGAAATGATTTTTCTCCATTGGGTTTTTCCTCATCTCCACAAATATTTTTACAGTCACAGATACTTACACATTTTTGGTTGTTTTGCTTGAATGACTCAGCTGAATTCCCCAGACACTGGCTAAGAACATGCACTAGGAAAGAGGCTTTCCCAAGAACTGGGATATGCAAAGAGAGATTATAGATGATTCTTGTCTGAGGATCAAGACTGCACAATGTTGTTCCCTTAAAAGAGGGAGATAACTGCATCTACTTTAAGGCTCACCTTCTTTCCATGCCAGAAGAAACAGAGAAATAATAATACTATGGGCTCATCTCTAACCATGGTTTCAATGACAAGTGAGTTTACCCTCTTGGAAACGCTTGGTAATTTCTGTGACATCCTCAATTGTCACAACTTGGGAAAGGGTGTGCAGTATGCCAAAGGCATTTAGTGACAAAAACAAAATATGCTATTCATTCTACAGGGCACAGAACAGACCCTAACTGTGGGGAGCAGCTCGGACTAGACTGAGTTACTGGAATTGAGACTTATTCTATGCATCTGCTCTCCTACAATATGGCGCTGGGAGAGGAGAAAACAGCTTCTACACAGCTGCCTCCAGTTCAACCAATAAACTGTGGGACCTGCTCCTGATTGGAGGAGAGCAGCGTGCTCGGCGTGTGGGTAGCAGAGTTGGGATTGGCGGAGGAGGACTATAAAGGAGGAGAGAGATGGCATTCACCAGGAACATCTAAAGGGAACATCTAAGGGGAACATCTATCTGAAGGAACACCTGTGCAGCCCCCGAGAGAGCCGGCCGGCGGTGTGCCGCTCCCCTGTGGAAGTGGGGAAAGTGGCCAGGGGGAACCGCCCTTCCACGGAGGTGGAAGGGACAGTAGCCAACCTGGGAAGAACCAGCAGCAAACCCGGGGAGGGCCGAGCAGACAAAAGAACAGCGCAGGGTCCTGTGTCGTTCCTCCACGAAGAGGGGGAGCGACATAATGGTGCCGTGACTCGGATATGAAGCCTAGGCAGGGTTTAGTGTCGTTCCTCCACGAAGAGGGGGAGTGACACCTAACAACAAAGAAATACCAGGCGCAAAAAGGTTAACAGTGCTGAGGTCTAGAAACCCTGAATTAAAACTATGTATCTCTAAATAAGTTTCCGTATTTGTAGGTGTCTGATCCAGATACATCCTTTTTTCTCACACCATAGCCATAATCTGACGTTTTTTCTACCAAACATGCAATAAAAAAGTGATTTTTTTTTTTGACAGGCAGAGTGGACAATGAGAGAGAGAGAGAGAGACAGAGAGAAAAGTCTTCCTCTTGCCGTTGGTTCACCCTCCAATGGCCACCGCGGCCGGCGCGCTGCAGCCGGCACACCGCACTGATCTGAAGCCAGGAGCCAGGTGCTTCTCCTGGTCTCCCATGGGGTGCAGGGCCCAAGCACCCGGGCCATCCTCCACTGCACTCCCTGGCCACAGCAGAGAGCTGGCCTCTCTTAACTTATTTGTTATAATGTATTTTGCATGTCCAGGCTTTTGTTTAATTTGCCATTTTCAAAATCAGGCACATTCTAAATTTTTAAATTATTCTTTACTATAACAACCATGAAATCTAAGTTGGAAGAGAATATAAACTTGGGAAGCTCATTCCTTCTACCATATTCTCAATTTTTTTTTTATGAAAAAGAAAAAGGAATGAGTGGTGATCCAATAGTTTATTGACTGCCTTCAACGGGGATTTTCACAAAGCCACTGGTTTCATTTTCTAATAACTTTCATTATGAGACATTTTTCCTTTAGCTGAGAAATCTTTCTTCCCTTTTTTTTTTTTTCTGATATTGGTCACTGATCTAATCTGGTCACTTGGCCATGTTTCATCACTAGCAAATAAAGAAAAATCCCCATTTCAATTTTGCTTTCTTCTAGT